GTATGAAGTTCTGGCGTTGACTGTTGTGCAGCTTGTTGTAGTTTGTTTATGAATGTTTCAGTAGTGTACTCGATTTCTTCAGTCGTCTTCAGTCGAATTTTTAGGTCGATGCTGTTGTGTAGTATACTGCGGAAAGTATCCCAATTTGTTCGAAAGTTGTGTAGTTTAGGTGGAGGTTTCTTGTATATTACTGATGTTCCAATTGTTGCTATGATTGGAGAGTGGTCAGATGATAAGTCGTAATTGGGTACGATGTCAGTGTATGTTGAATCTTTACCAATGTGAAGCCAATTTGTTCACCATGGCACTCAGCCTCCTGCTGGATGGAAACGTTCCTTTGATACATGAAAAGTAGCTGGATGTGTCTAATTCTACGTTGAATATTTAGGCAGCGTGTCTCTCCGGAACGTCCGTAAACTTGTCAGACTACATGGCATCATACCCCAGGAAACAATAAACATTACTGTCAAACTAAGCAGAAGCTAAAAGCCGGCAAATGGAAGTCCCTCAGTTTTGGGGTTGTGCGTAGGGCTGGCAACCACTTAACACAACAAAACTTAAGTTTCTTAATCACTAGTCCACAATGTCTCAAAACCGCAGATACATGCTAGTAATGAGAATTCACTGAATTAATGTTTAACGTCTACCGCGGCCATAAGTCATGAAAAATAAATATTATAGTTATAGCGGTTCAATAGTAACACTATGATGGACTTGTTGCACTTTTTCTATTTGTTATAACATCACACAGAGGAGCGGAAAGGGATGTAGAACACAAAGGCAGTTTTGTTTATTGTACTCCATGGCATAAATACCCGCTTATGGTAATGTCATAATCCACAACATTCGTGGCAATCCACCGGACAACCATGAAGGCAATCGTCGCTGTTCTGTGCGTCCTTGGGGTTCTGGGATCCCATCCGACTCTAGCAGTGAGTATCGCCAGTGGGACACACGCAAAACGACAGGTACATGAGGTACACCAAACAAGAGGCCGATCACAGGGGCCGCGCGGTCTAAGGCATGAACCGTCTATACACGCTCGAACACTGGGATCATGGGTTCGAATCGCACTGGAGGCATGGATGTCCGTGCGTGCCTTTATTGAGTGTTAGTGACGTTCTGTGTGTAAGTGGCGGCCTTGCGACGGGCTGATCCCCGTCCAAGGAGTCATACCGACTGTGTACATGATTAAAAAACTGAAAAAGCTGCCAAGAACCAAAGAGCTGTAGAGATAGGTAGAGAGAGACAGGTGGATGGATAGATAGAAAGATAGATGGACAGAGAGACAGATAGATAGACAGATAGGTGGATGGATAGATAGAAAGATAGATAGATAGATAGACAGATTGGTGGATGGATAGATAGAAAGATAGATGGACAGAGAGACAGATAGATAGACTGATAGGTGGATGGATGGATAGAAAGATAGATAGACAGATTGGTGGATGGATAGATAGAGATAGATACATAGCTAGATAGACAGATAGGTGGATGGATGGATGGATGGATAGATAGACAGACAGACAGACAGACAGAGAACAAGAGAGCTTACGTTACTTACGTTAGATTTTTACTAAACTCACGGGACAATATTATAAAAAGCATGGAAACCACTGGTCTCTAATATAATAATATCAACAAAAGCGAAAAAGATAGGAAAACATGATATAATCTTGGTTTAAGATTATTTTTCAAAACGCCGTGCTTAATTTCGTACATTCGAACCAGAATTATATGATTCCAAACCTTTTAACGCAAGAAAATATATATTCTGAAGGAACTGCGCAGGTCTATCGCCCAGATATATGAAACGAACTCAAGAACTGGAGAAGTCATTAAAATGTATTGAAATTCCAATTGAATTCAGTCCAATTCTGCCTGATTATTCAAGCGTTTGGCAACAGCTAAAAGCCAATTAAAACAAACATCGAAGAAATGATATAATAATATAGATGTAAATACAAGTTTATAAAGGAGAAGGGGAAATATACTAAAAACCGAGTAACATAAATTATCTAAATGTAAAAATAAAAAAAAATGTGAAATACTGAAATTGAACTTATTTTAAGTTGTAGCGTTGGGGGCCCTGGGCAGCTTCCGCGCTTTGCGCATTGGATACGAACGGTTTGCAGTATTATTAAAATAGCCAAACACTCGTAACCACATATTTCACACTTCTTCCTTCCGTTACTGTGTTGTGCTCTTCGCACAAACCTCTGACAGAACTCAACTTACGTATCTAACAAAACAAACTCCGTGGCTCTAGTCCGCAAGCGAACTATACCGACCGAGCGACAGCCGCTTGTCGGCGAAGTTAGTGCCACCTTTTGCGGATAGAGGGTGTCGCGTTGTCAGTGCAACGAATCCCCAGGGCAGTTAATTTCGGTTTTCTAGACCGGAGCCGCAATTTCCTTGAAATATTTCAATTATCCTCACGAAGCTGAGTGGACGCCGTTCCAGACCCACTACTTCTGAGAAAATTTGTTAGAGCCGGAAATCGAACCCAGGACTTCTGGATCTGTAGCCAGGAACTGTCACCACTAGACCACAGAGGCGGTCTGTAATATTTTAACTTTAAAATGAGCAAAATATTTTTAAAAACTCGGAAGGTTTAATTTTCAAAGAAATACAGCGGTTCAGTTGTAAAAGTTGAACCATTCCTGTGTTTGTTGGTATTCTCTGCCACTGATCTGGATGCCAGACTATAAGAGATAGCGGGGTAATTTTATAACAACACGAGTACTTACTTACTTATGGAGCTGAGCCCTTCTTGAGGAGCCGGAAAATCTGCAGCTACTCAAGAATTTCCCAGCATTTTATGGAACCCTAGGCTCCGCGGCGGCCCGGGTTCAATCCCAGGTCTTGTCAAGTGGGATTTGTGGTGGACAAAGTGGCGCTGGGGCAGGTTTTCTCCGAGTACTTCGGTTTCCCCTGCCAATCTTCATTCCACCAATTGCTCCACAATCACCCTCACCTATCATCTGGGGCTGGTACAATAGGCTAGAAGTGGGCGCAGTACAAGGGACTTAGTCCCACCCCACTAGCAATAAAAATACTCTTGTATTCTTTCTTCTCTTCTTTATCATCATCTTCTCGTTGTTATTCTTTTCCCGACCCTAATCATTTTCTTCCTGCCTTTCTTAAGGTTGGGGCCACACGAGCGCACGAAGTACGTCCGTTGCAACGAACGTACTTTATGACGGACTTTGCTGAGGACACCACACAGTTGCAGAATGCGGTGCGTAGTTTTTTGTCTGCAATGGAGCCAGAAGAAAGCGTAGCATTCGCCTCTCTTGTTTATTTCTACAACGGACGTCACGACGTTTGTTACAACGGACGCATTTTGTGCGCTCGTGTGGCCCCAGCCTAATCCTCTTCGTTCTCCACATCGTCCAGACCGGCTCTTATGCCTATACGGCCTTCTACATGATGGGAATCGTAGGAAGTCTTCCCGGTGGTAAAGCGGCCGAGGCGTGAAGCTGACCACTCACCTCAGTTTAGTTGAGAGGTTAAGAACGGTGGAGCTGCACCTCTTCCATATATCCTCATGGCATGATGCTTAATTAATTAAGTACAGGGATATCGTTACGTTTTTAGACAACTTTACTTACTAAAAAATATAAAAGGAGGCTTATGCAATATTCATGCTGCCTGTGTGTGTATCCCCCCCACTATCAACTTCCGAATGGCTGAACCAGTCTTTATGAAACTTGGTATGTATATTGTAACACCTGAGCCCATCTAATCGGCATATTTCACAAATTCCACCCAACAGTCTGTGTCGTTAGGCAACAGCTCGGTAAAGTCGTTACCGCGGCGCCGAATACAGAGGCAATAACAAATTTCTTGGAAGGGTCGTTTTCTACGCGCTCCGAGAAAGCATGTGACTTCTTCTTCCTAGAATTTCTTGTTCATTCATTCATTCATCTGTAATCTGTCAAGATGACAGGTCCACAGTCTCTTCCAAAACAGTTCCTCCACTCGATGCCATCTAGAGCTTTCTCCTTCAAATGAAACATCTCGCAGTACAACAGCCGTTCAAACCACTATGGTCACGCCTGTTGCTATACGAACTTGAACCATCTCGAGCATCATTTGCTCTGTGCTTCAAGTCGCTGCTGATGACGCTGCTTCCGGAATCAGTTTTTGGTGTCTCTCTTCGTCTGATGCCTACCCTTTGACCTGTCCAGCAAGGGAGGCCCTGCTAGCAGCTAGGCTACCGCTGACATACTCAAACCTCCTCACCACGATAAGGTGGAGACACCAACGAGGGGGGTTTCTTGTTATCTTCATTAAATATTATATTTGTTCTTTCATTTCGTGTTACAGACGCCATTCGTAATGACGCTACAAGCAGTCAGGACGACCTGCTCTAATGGAGATTTCATAATCAGTAAGGATGTGAGAGTGGGGACTGACGGTCCAGTGCCCACCCTCAATAGTAAATACGATATCGTCAAGGACCTGCCGAAGGACGTGCAGGTAAGTACAAACAACTAATTAAATACGCGCTGCAGGGTTTTCAGGTCCTTACGGCGGTAATTATGAAGAGTCCTATCTTCTGGGATATAACGCCGTGTAGTCCGTCGAAAGTAAACCGACGTTTCGGAGGGACATGCCGCCTCAGTCTTCAGGGTCGAACAACAAACAAAGTAAGAAACCAACATGAAGGAGGTAGCAAACAGCGTGCTTATTCTTCGCCCGAGAACAAAAAAATCGGCAAGATCGCAGTTCCGTTTATAATATGGGAATCAATCGAAAAATAATGTTCACGTCACCGAGTTTCACGATACTGTCACATTTCTTTCGAAAGCCAAGGGCATGCTGTATTCGTATCTAACAGCAAATGGTAACATGTTTGTGTGGACGTGAGAGTACCGGTAAGGACCAACTAACTCCATGGAGCTGAGTCCTTCTTGAGAAGCTAACTGTTGCTCAGCTACTCAAAGAACTTCCCAACCCGAAGGTTCATTACCTTGTTCACAAGAGTCCACCAATGGTCCCTATCCTAAGCCAGATCAACCTAGTCCTTACCATTCCATCCATTTTAATATTATCCACTACTTACATCTTCGTCTTCCTAGTGGTTTTTTCCTGCTGGCTTTCCCACCAATATCGTATATGGGTTCCTCTTAGACCCAATTCGTACACAAGGGACATACGCCTAGCTAGTGAGAATACACATACGACAGGGGCACAAACATGGGCGCCGCAAAAGGAAGAGATTACGGAAGGGAGAGAGAGTTTTATTCTCAAACACATTTTATTGTTTGCAACGATGTGCAGTAGCATGGAAATGTATTGACTTATGATCTAGTGCGGTGCGACGGTCTCGAAACATGGACAATTTGCCTGAAGTTGGCCAAGTAGGGCCAAAACATATGGCAACTGATGTGATTTTAATGTCATTTTAAATTAAAGAGAGATTATGAACAATTTTCAGTTGCATTAGCGACGGAGGTGAATGAGTGATACATCAATGCAACAGGATGCCCAAATATAATATTAGTATTATCCATCCACCTACGCCTTGGTCTTCCCAGTGGTCTCTTTCCTTTTTGCTTTCCCACCAAAACCCTCTATGCATACCTCTTCTTTTCTTATACGTGCTGCATGCCCTGTCCATCTCATCCTCTTTGACTTGATGATTCTAATTATACTTCGAGAAGCGTACAAGTTATGAAGCTCTTCATTATGCAGTTTTCTGCAACCTCCTGTCACTTCATCTCTCTTCGGTCCAAATATTCTCCTCAACACCTGTTCTCAAATATCTTCAGCTTATGTTCTTCCGTTAACATGAGAGAACAAGTTTCACACCCATACAAAACTGCAGGAAAAATTATAGATTTGTACATCTTAAATTTTATGCTTTTACACAGCGAGAGAGAAGACAAGCGGTTCTAGACTGAAAAGTAGCAAACAGTACCCTAGTTCGGAATATGTGGCGCACTGACAACAAATTATTGCTATGTACAAATAGCTGAACTTAAAAAATGGCACCGTCCAGTAGCAGTAAAAGTGCTTCAAGCGCTGAACACTCAGCACGTATTCGAGTGCCTACATTGCTCAGAGAGTGCTGGGACAAGCTAGAGCATCTAGACCAGGCGTGTCAAACTCAACTTGTACAGAGGGCCACCTCAGCCCTATAAATAACAGTCCAGGGCCGCACTTCAAAACAGAAATATACATCAGATTTTGATACAAGGAAATTTAATTCTATTTATTATTTAGGAATAATTTGAATATAATTACCTAAAGTCACATATCTTACAGTTTTAAAGAGCAAGAGAATGCTATTTTTGACAAGTATCAAACAACTTTTCAATATGTAAAAAGAGAGATTACACAAGAAATTATGTTAGAAATAGCAAAACACTGAATTTCCTGCAGCCTGCTAATTTATGTCTGCGTGAGACTTCTTGTCTTCTGGTCTGTTGGAAAATTGTCTTTACAAAAAATATTTCTACTAAAATTTTAATATTGATTTTAATATCAGTTAGCTCTAAAAGTTGAGGGGCCGCACGTTTGAAACGGGTGATCTAGATGATATATATCATGATAACACTGCCTGTTTATTAAACAACAATGCCTCAACTGTTTAAGTTAACGTCAAAAATTTGTGTCAATGTGAATCATGACGTTACGTATATTTCCAAGTAATCGATGCAACCCATTTCAAAGTATTATCGCGATATATAAGTGGAGCAACTTGGAAAACCACCAATAAAATAATTGGGCTTCAGGGTCGAAAATCAAACCCGAGATTTCCGGAGCACAAATGGAAAGTTGCAGTCACGGGATCACGGCCCTTCGGCACGATATTAATATAGATTTCTGGACAGCGACAGCGGGGGGGNGGGGGGGGGGGGGGGGAGAAGAGCGTGATAATGTGGGCTAGGCCGAGCTGACCCAACCAGCAGAACGACTACCAACTGTTCAAAAAGTTCCGGTACTTTTGGAGTAAATTTTAGCTGTGCCTTTGTTCAGTCGATTATTCGCCGACTTCTTATGCGGAGGTCCTGGTTTTGTCCCAGATGGTACTCCAAACTGCCATTAGGACAGGTTTACCTACGAGTTACCAGTTACCACACTACCGACGCTCCAATCCTCATCCTTCATCCTGGGCTGGTAATAAAATATCTGTATTTGCATAAGCAGTGCCAAGGGATGAAGAGAATAAATTTGAGTGAAACTGAGTTCTTGTAAATAATTCTTCTTTCAGTGTGGGACAGAATTCTTCAAGAAGGAAGGAGATGAGTACAACAAATTGCCATTTGCTATGGATCCTTCCGACTGTTGCAACATCTTAACTACTGAGAAGTACAAGGAAGCGATGGAAAAGCAAAACGTTCCTAAGGATTGTCCTATTAAAGCGGTTAGTATTATCATATTTAAGCCAGCGACTGGAGTAAAATGCTCACTTATTTTGTTTATATTGTCACGTGTATGAGTGACTCTTGACGGGGGTTTGGATTGCATATTGGAATTATGGACCACTTATAAGTCGTAACTACAATGTTATCGCTAATTTCAACACTTTACACATCATTACAGCTCACTCTAAGTCTTTTCCAGCCAGCAGTCTCTTCACTAGCAGGTGCCTGGTAACGGCTCCAACAATAACTATTACTCTGTTTCGTGTTCAAGTCCTCTCCGAATGGCGCCTCCCTTCAAACTGTCTGAATTCTTCAGAGAGTCAGTGTCAGAGTTACTTTACGACTGGCTTTTTACCGCCAATCAGTTCGTCTCAGTGCCAAGCCCCTTGAGACACACGATCATAATTATTTTTCCCAGCTGAACTCTTGCTGTTGTAGTCCTTATGAAACATCTGACTTCTTGCTCCAGTTGTCCTCCTTATAACCCCTCGGCACGGACCACCGTAGAGAACAGTTTCCAGCAGAACCTCTATTGTTGCGCGTTGACTGTTACCGCGGGAATTTCTTTGCAATTTGTTTAATGGTTACCAGTAACTCAGATGACATAAAGGCCAAATGACTGAAAGACAGTGCATGATGAATTTGATAGGATATGGAAGTGGTTGTGGCCTGTTTTAACGCGTTATGCCGGCATCTACCTGAAAAGACAGTGGGAAAACCACAACAAATCTGCGGCCGATATAACCCTTGTCCCTGCCTATATTCGAACTGCGTATGCCCCGAATATGAGTCAGAAGCGTCAACCACTTAAGGCAACTTGCTCAGTACGAATTCAAACATGAAAATTAAGGATTTACACTAAGTTTATTCGCAAGCGGCCTCCGTAGTCTAGAGGTAACGTTCCCACCTCATGACTCGTGGTACGCGGATTCAAACCCGGCGGAGGTCGTCGAATTTTTAAGGGCGGAAAAATTCAGGGAACAAGTCCTCCGGGAGGGACTTTAAGCCGTGGGTCCCGTGTCGTAGCTTTACGGCACGTAAAAGAACCTCATATCTCCAAAGGAGGTCACTGAGCCAAATTCAAGGTCATTTCCCGCCCAACAGTAGTCTCTAACGCCTCTGATGGGGGAAGCATTATAGATACCTGCAAGCCAGTAGAGGGCGAACTCGCTGGCTCGATCGGGACTGATGGTACGTACCAATATCGGTAGGGTATAGAGACTGGTAGAATATCATAGAGGGAAGCACAATGGACCAATACTGGTCTTAAGTGCATGGGGAAATCCACCCTCTCCAATAACTAACTAACTAAGTTTATTCGCCAATCCATACCCCGTCTATGGTCACACACACATACATGTGCCAATATATAGTACATGGAAATATAAACACACACACACACACATATACACACACACACACAAGCCCACATCCATGAACTTACATTACAGCAAGTGCATACACAGGCCGCGCTATAGCTCAAGCGGTTAGTCGCTGGCTTCCCACCGCGGCGGCCCGGGTTCGATCCCGGGTCTGATCAAGAGGGATTTGTGGTGGACAAAGTGGCGCTATGGCAGGTTTTCTCCGAGTACTTCGGTTTCCCCTGCCAATTTTCATTCCACCAATTGCTCCACAATCACCCTCACCTATCATCAGGGGCTGGTACAATAGGCCAGAAGTGGCCGCAGTATAAGGGACTTAGTCCCACCCCTCTAGCAATAAAAAAGTGCATACACACACATAAAAAACTACCTGCCCTACTCAGGACAGTCACATGGCGAGTCGGTGGTAGCCAGCACTATTGTAGTCAGGCCCCACCTCTCGTCGAAGAGGCGGCCCCATTTCAAAACACGTATAAGTCTGGAAACAACAGAAATATGGTCATGGATTCTGAAGGGGCCCGAAACCAAGAATAAAGTGCTGGTGAAGGCCAGCAGCAAATTACTACTCTGCTCTCTGCTCATACATACAGAAAACAGCACGGACTCAACTGTTGCGTGACGTCACAGCCTAGCGGGTAGGGATGTTTACCGAGCGTTGCGTAGTTACTGGATGAGTGGGGGTACGTCACGTCACTCGCACTTCCTGTTGCGCTATCCAAGCGTTCACAGAGTTGTCGCCTAGCAACTCTCCCTTTGGCGCATGCCCCCGAGGCCTCTGTGACTCAAGAGTTCCTGCATAGAGCAAATACGCCACAATACATACACACATACATACACAGAGGCAAACATATGCATGTGACATATTCCGATGCATAATGAGAAGCCGAATATGAAATGTTGCATAAAAAAGAAAATCCACTGGACTGCTCAGCTTCCAAATATGGGCGTAGGAAGATAGAAAAGGAAAGATTACTAAAAAAATGTGTACCAAAAATAAATAAATAAATAGCCCAATGTCCATCCACACTGTTACAGGGAAGTTACGAGCTCAAGAACTTTATTGTGGACACAGAGCCCATGTCTGACGACATTCAGCGCGGAGAATTCAGGGCTGCATTCAAGATGACCCTACCTTCAGGGGACTGCCTGTATGGAGAAGAGACAGACTGGAAGGTTACTGACAAATAGATGTTCTATTTACAGTGAAACACTTGGCATGTCATGATTCTTACTTACATAAAATAAATCAAGCTACAGGATTCATAATTCTTTTACATTTCTGTAAAACTCGTGACCTGTTTCGTTGTAGAGTAGCGTTTTTCACGTTACGACATGTACTCTTGTAAAAGTTTACAAGACATTTCAGAGGGAAATGCTGTCTCCATCTTCAGGATCAAATAATAAATCATAGAATCAACCAGCAAGCAGCAAGCACCGAGCGCGTATTATTACTAATTTGGTTTTTATTTAACTACTAATCCCAATCCTAAAGCAGTCATTACAACCTACCTAACTTGAATAAACTGTATAGAACTTGGTTTTAATTTACTGTTCCTAACAGACAACCGATCACAGTGGCCCCGCGGTCTAAGCATGAACTGCATTCGCCCCCTCAAACACTGGGATCGTGGATTCGAATCCCACTCAAGGCATGAAAGTCTGTTTTTTGTTTATTCTGTTTGTGTTAGGTAGCGGCATTGCGTTGGGCTGATCCCCCGTCCAAGGAGTCCTACCTAATGTCTTAGGTTAAGAAACTGAAGTAGAACTGTGCGTTTCACGGATGCCCTATGTTCCAAGTGCGAGCAAAATGAATAGAAGAAGAAGAAGAATGCAAATATGACTACATACTTCCTACCCAAGTCCCTAACCATATACTTAACGTGGTTTTAATTCACTGCTACTAGTCCTAACGGGGGTATGCGGTAGCGTAGTTGGTTGAGGCACTATGCTACAAGTCGGAAAGTCGCAGGTTCAAGTCCCGACGAGGTCATTGGATTTCATCAATTGACCTAATCTTTCCAGCCACACTATGGCTCTGGAGTCGCTTCAGTCTCTGAGAGAAATGAGTACCACGGAATATTCTTGGTGTTAATTTTGCCTGCAGTTTGATTGTGGATGTGAAACTTGCTTTCTGGCATTAAAGGAAGAACAGGGGGCGAGGGTGTCCGAGAACGGGGTGCTAAGAAGGTATGCAGATAAAAGGAATAATACAAGGACGAAGAAAACTGCACAACGAGGAACTACATAACTTGCAATCTTCGCCAAGTACGATTAGAATGATTAAATGAATGGGGATGAGATGGGAATGGCATGTAGCACGCAACTTGGTAGAAAAACAAGAAAGGAAGAAGGGCCAGGAAGACGTAGGAGTAGATGAGAGGGTAATATTAAAATGGATTGTACAGAAATAAGATAGGAGTATGGACTGTATTCATCTGGATCATGATAGAGATCACTGGTTCGCTGTTGTAAACACGGCGATGAACCTTCGGGTTCCATAAAATGTTGAAGATTTCTTGAATGGCTGAGCAACTGTTGGCTTCTCAAGAATTAGTCAGTTGGATAGTCGCTGATCTTAATACAACTGAGCATTTTATCCTGCCAAAGTCCCTTACCCTACCCTGAACTTGGTTTTGATGTAATTGTTACTAACAATGTAAGGTAACATAAAGCTATCCCTGTAATAGGTCGCAGAGGCCCACATGGCTGTGAGACGTCGAGGATCCCAAATTTTTTAGACAATCGGCTCAGAGATGGCGGTGAAGTTGTCAGCCTCACGCGCCGGCCGCCCTTTACCCCCCAGGAACATTCCTAGTACTCATTTCTTTTAGAGGCTAAGTCGACCCCAGGCCTATAGTGTGGCTGGAAGACCTCATCGGGAATCGAATCCGCGACCTTCTGGCTTGTACCATAAACCAACTACGCTACCGCGTGGGCTGTACTTATTACTAATCCGGTCACGACTCTGTATTACACGTATATCCTACCTCAGTCTCTTGCTCTATTCTGAAGGTTGTAATGCAACACGTATTACAGCCTACCCATGTCCCGTATCCCCTCCTAAAGTCGGTTTTAATTTACTGTTACTGTTACCCCAAAATAACAGGAATTTATTTTTGTTATTTTTTATTTTTGCATTTTTATTGAACTGTATATTAGTCCCCTTCAAAGTACTGTCCATGTGCATTAATGCACTTGTCCCAACGCTTTTGCCACTGCTCAAAACAGTGCTGGAATTCTTGAGGCTGGATACTGTTTAAAGCCTTTAGCGTGTTTTCTTTGACTTCATCCACATCACGGAATCGCTTTCCTTTCAGACTTCTCTTCATCCGTGGAAACAAAAAAAAATG